AGTTGTTCCTTTCCATCTCATCCCTAGTTGTCCCTTTCCATCTTCATCCCTAGTTATGCCCTTTCATCTTCATCTCTAGTTGTCCCTTTCATCTTAATCCCTAGTTGTCCCCCTCCACTTAATCCCTAGTTGTCCCTTTCCACTTTCATCCCTAGTTGTCCCTTCCACCTTCATCCCTAGTTGTCCCCTCCACCTTCATTCCTAGTTGTCCTATTTCATCTTCATCCCTAGTTGTCCCTCTCTATTTTCATCACTAGTTGTCCACTTTTCTCTTCCTCTTCAAAGCAGTCAAATTAACCTGTTCCATCTTTTGTCTATTTCTATCCCAGCTCTTCCATAATCCTTTCAATTCAAGTTGAAATGTAAATAGTGACTTATTTCAGTTTTCTTCCAAGTGTCAGTATGCATGCAAGTTTGTATTCATGTTAGAGGAATGTGGCCGACTCTTGGCCATTTCTTCCCAAAAACTGAAAATACAATATTTCATTTCATCATTATGACTAATAATAGTCCTTTTTGTAATAGAATTGACAATGATTTATATTCAACAGATTGCAAGATTAGAAGGTTGTAGCAACATCGTTGGTATCAGCGGAAGTGATGAGAAATGTCAATATCTCACAGAACAACTAGGTTTCAATCACGCAATAAACTATAAAACAGAGGACGTGGACGAGAAATTAAAAGAATCTTGCCCAAATGGAATAGATATCTATTTTGATAATGTTGGTGGCGAGATCAGTAATACAGTCATTAAACAGGTAGGGGAAAACTATCAAGTGTGAATAAAAAAAACTTAAGACATAGTACAATTATTATATATAGCCTGCATCAATTAAATCCAACATTTCACTCAGTAGAATACATTCTACTGAGATAACAAAATGATTTGCAATTAAGTTTAGAAGGATTGTGTCCTATTGAGCAAGGATGATAAAATTTACCCTTGACTAATCCTGTCCAAGATGAGGGATTATCTGGGATAACTTCCTTTGGTGGGTTTTATACTTCAATCAAACTTACATAGGCAATACCTGCTTCAACTGAATATATTGCATGTATTTCAAGTGAGTGAAAATAAATTACTGTTGTGTTGACTCATTTTGATGTTTTTTGTAAAAATAAATTACAGCTAATCAAAATAAGTCGCATTTTCCTGAAGCTGTGTGAAAGTTTGAAAAAATAAAAAAAAAAATCTATTTCATTAGACACAATCAAAATAACTGGACCAAGTATGTTAAAAATTGTTAAAAGGGCACCTTCCAGTTAAGGCTTATCTCACAACAAATTTACTTTCTGGATTAAAATAACAATGGATAACAAAAGATAGATTTACATTGTTAAACAACAAACAATAGTGTCCCATGATTCTTTGGTGCAATCCATGGGATTGAGCGGTTCCCCTTTAATGTACTTGGCAAGTGGTGAATGCACTTACATATTTGTGTAACAAAATATGACAAAATTCTAGGAGTGCCGCAGAAACATCAAACAAAGCATCACTTTTTCACAGCCTGATTCACTATACATTAAATACCAGTTCAGGTTTATGCAAGAATTCACATCACACAGCTTTCTTCCTCAGATGAATATCAATTCGCACGTTATCCTGTGTGGTCAGATATCAGTTTATAACAAAGACATTCCGTTACCCACCACCAATTCCACAAGAAATCCTTGAATACATCGCAGATAAAAATATCACAAGGGAGAGGTATACAGTCTTGAATTACAGAGAAAAATTTCCCCAAACAATGATGCAGTTAATGGAGTGGCTGAAGAATGGATTACTGAAGGTGAGATGTGTCATTGCTGTTCTATGTTATATGAAAAATTATCATTTATGTAAATAGGTTTGAAGCACAATTGAAACTAAAAGTGGACACTAATTTGGAACACTGCACAAGGTTATACTAAAGCACAACTCAAATTTCAATTATGGGGGAAAGGTACAAATACAAATTTAAATGCTATAGTACTATATGATGAAAGCTGAACATATTGTGCATTGTCACATGTCAGAAAATCATGTTCCATTCATACCATGCGGAAGGGACTGACAAATTACCAATAGTAACACTTGATTTTGTTTACTCCACTCATTCAGCATCCAGAGACAGTGGCTGAAGGTTTGGAGCAGACTGGTGCGGCATTTGTGTCCATGATGAAAGGTGGAAATTTAGGAAAACAAATCGTACATGTTGCAGACCTGTGACTGAACTGAAAGTGTAGAATCTATCTCAAAAAAAACTATATTGAGAACTATATTGTGATCAACTACAAGTAGGATAGTGTAAAATGGATGAAAGTCTTCATGTATATTATGGACTCCAATTTTCCTCTTCATTATTACCGGGGAACTATTACCATACTTACATGTTCGGGTTGACCATACTCATAACTTATGTACAATAGTACTACTGTGGTAATTTCTAATTGCAAGACAAATGAGACAATGCATGAATGAAAAAAAAAATAATTTATTGTCAACATTTTCAAGAATGGCATTTCCCTAGTGAAATGAAACATAGTTTGGTTTCTTGTTTAACTGATTCCTATATACATCGCCACTATCGGAATTGGAGGTTTTGATGATGTCATAATCACACGATAATGTTAACCTCCATTTGCAAGTAAATTCATTTCAACAAAAAAACAAATTTAACTAATTCTGTGATGGTAGTGATTTATAATAATGAATCCTGCACAGCATCATATTGGATTCATAGAAGGGTCTAGACATATAATGTGTACAGCTTAGTCTCATAAATTATCTTGTCATAAACCCTTCTCCTCGTCCAATACAGCACTGTGGGGTTCATTATTGTTTTAAAACATTATTATTAAAATTGGACTGCCCCTAGGAATTTAAGAACATACAAAAATACCCAACCCCATCCTAAAGTGAAAAAATTATACAGTTAGATGGTTTCTCTTGCATTCTTAAAATTACACAGAATACAAAAAAAAACTTCTGTTAATTAGCAAGACATCGAAAATTAACTGTTACCATTTAAACCTCCACTGTATAGAGTAAATAGTCATTGCATAGAGAGAAATCAGACATGAGCCGAAAGGTAGAATGTACAAAAATATTAAGTTGTGGAAGTAGAGATCCATGATAACAATCCCTTTTTTTTTCACTGATAAACAACAACTGAAAAGTCAGCTGCCGAACTTGTTTGACGTGAATAAAGTATTTGTCTATTTTGACTACAGTAGAACGTTTTGTTTGGAAAGCCCCCTCCTCATGTTCAACATACTAGTATTTATGATCTTCTTTACGAGTTGTTAAAGTGAATATACAAGCATACATGAAATTTTGGTTGTTGAATTAGACTGCAGATAACAGATTGATAAACCATTGTCAGATAATAATGTTGATTTCTTCAAAACGTCTGTACAGATTAGGTCAGTAAATTATATAGCGGTGCAGCCCTTCTTCTCGTACATGCATAAGTATACATATCTGCTAATATCAGTCAATTTGCGACTTTTCATAATTATATTTGTGTACGAAAATCTATTTCAACTTTTTCTCTAAAACAGTGAGACATATTGCTTTCAAATTTGTCAAGAACCCATGGTATCTGGGGCCTCCAGTCAGCCCAGGCACTGAGACAAAGTTTGAGATTGCCGTACATGATCCATTATGAGAAGGATGAAATGGGGAAAAAAAATGAATATTTACATATGTTAATTTAAAAAAAATTAATAGATGAGATTCATTCCAAAACTGGATGCAGAACACCATCTTCATCAGCTGTATCAAGTAATTTGCATATCAGTGGAGATTCCACCTGGTGAAAAAAAATATAAATATTACAATTTCGGCTTCATTATGATTGATCCAAAGGTTTGATACCTTGCAATTGTCAGCCAAATCTTTATAAATACCGAGCACCATCACAAAGCACACACATTTTGACATTGTGCATTAGGTTAAATTGTACACAGGTCAATAATTCTCCTGATATTATCCCAAAATCTAAAGTCTGTACGATTACAATGCTGCCGTATGTATCTGAAACATCGCATACCGCACAATCTTTCAGCAACTGGGCAATCTTTGGGTGCTGCAAAAACAAATAAATACCATAAAAACACCAGGGATTCAGATTTCTTAAAATTAGCTCAGGATATTTTTGTCAAACTGTAGTTTGTTTCTTCAGTACAAGGCCCCATACCAAAGACAATCCTGTCAGTGGGAACTGTGGGAAAAGCTGCAAAAAAGTGCTTGTGATCAGCAACACATGCACAATGCTAAATTTTGTAGCATTTGTCACATGTTACGCCAACTTTGATTGGGCGCATGATTTAAAGCGTTTCCAATCAGATCAAAGCATTTTACTATTAAAGGTTGAACACACAACTAATCGATAGAATCTCGAGTTGGTTTGCTGGGAAGTATGTTGACATCCAGCTTGCGAAACCCGACAATGAAAGGTTGATGACTCTAAGGAGTACTCTACTTACCCCTAGAATATATTCACATGTAGCGGGTTCTACCAAGTAAATACTGACTGCATTCGGTGATTTTGATTCTTTACATTTGAGTTTGACTTGTACATTTCTTGGTTTGCCAGTCATATCACAGATGTCTCCATGGCCATAATATAAATAGACACTTCTGTAAGATAAATAGGAAAGATAAGTTATATTTGGGGGTGGGGGTGTTAACTGGTGAGAGCTGTTCTATCTTGTAATCTTTAATGCTGGTGCACTATAATGCAATAATTTTTAGTGTTTTATGTGGTCACTTTCAAATTACCGGTATGTGTTTAAAGTTCATTGTAAATCGCTTTATTTTTGCAAGCTAGTAAAAATCGTGAACTTTCATAGAAGTAGTGTTTGAGATCAGTCACAGACTTTCATGAAGTTTTGTATTTATGAACGTCATAAAATCAATAAATGGCAAAAAAATCTTAGCAGGTTAAACAATCAAACTTGGTTCGTTTTGATCATCCCTGTTCTTCAATTGAAGTAAATATGTATAATATTTTCAGATATCAGTCAGAGAGAGAGGTGTTAGAAATACATAATACAGACTCCAATTGTTATTATGATGTTGGTATTGGATATCTGCAAAAGGAATGAATTTATTACACTAAATAAAAGTAATTATGAAGCAAATGGCGCAGAACAAACTAAAATCACAACATGTATTCAAAACATTTCTGGAAAAATTATATGGTCCACTCATCAGAGAGGCCTGTATCAGTGCATGTGTATAAGAATGTCAATATGAATAAGATCAGTTTGTTGAACTTAAAATTCCATCAAAATGAAACATTTTGGACTTGCATGCAAATCTATTGGCGATATATTGGTATACATTAGTGACATTTTCGTTGCCATTAACTACATGTGTGGCTTTTCCACACACCTGAACTTGACAATAAAGTAAAGCATGATGTAAAAAACTTGTTGGGGTCGTCCTACGACATGGAATGACTTTCACAAAATTGTTTCTTTACAAATACCATAAAATCCTGACAGTAAAAATTAAACAATTTACAGTGAACCTCCTTACTTTAGACCTCTGGTCTTTTTAACTTTTTTGAACCATTCCCTATGTTCTTTTTCATTCCAGTATCCCAAATTGATGGTTGTTCTACCTGTTTTTTCCTGGAAAAAAATGTCAACAATGTTAGTTTTCTTTAATTTGTGAGTTTACTCTATTTTAAGGTAGAATGTTGTATTGATAATGTGTGGTATCATTCAAAGCAGTATTTACATATTTTTTCTCACACTACATGTAAAAACTAGCAGCCTGTCGGCTGAGATAGCTCCGCTGTTATCAATGCACATTTCAATTAAAGAACTGAAGATATCAGAAAATAAACAATATGTATAGTATTAAAGCAATCGTACTTGCTGTTTAGAAAATATAACTTTTTATTAAAAATATTCATTAAAATTAGATAATTGAAGAACAAAATCATCATGAAATGAACAAAGAGGTCTACCTGTAGTACCTATGTAGTATATATAATATCAAAGCAACTAGACTTGCAGTTTTTAACAATAAGTCGAAAATATCACTTTTTACCAAAAATGACAAAAATATTCATCAAAATTAAAATAAAGAGAATTAAAGATATCACCATGAAATGAACAAAGCTGAGAGAGGTCCACCTAAGGTACCTACATACCATGTATCAAAGCATTTGGGCTAGCGGTTTTCAAGAAGTCAAAAATAGCATTTTTGACCAAAAATGACAAAAATATTTGCTATAAATAAGACAATTGAACATATCCACACGAAATGAACAAATCTGAGAGAGAGAAGCACTCAAGGTACCTTCCTAGAAAGTTTCACAGCTATAAAGTTTGAGGTTTTTAAGAAGAAGTTGACAATGACGACGGACAATCGGTAATACTATAAGCTCCGCTCGATTTTGACGACAGCGGAGCTAAAAATATCAACACTACTTGCAACACCATACATTATCTCTGGTATTACCCATGAATAACCTTTCATTATTACACTTCTAGCACCGAAAAACAATAGAATTCATTATTCATTTTTTTTTTTTTACATTGAATGTGTAGTGCTGTAGCATGTGCTGTAAAGAGAATTCTGTCACTAAACACAAACATTTTTCATTGGATTTTTTTTGCTTTATATAATACTACAAACAGAGAAAAGATGTATAAAAATAATGAGAATACAGTAAACACTAAGACAGTAAAGAATTGCATTAACCTCTGCCAAGTCTCAGTCATACTGCATCCATGCAGTGTTCTTGTGATGACTTGTATAATATTCTCATTTTATATTCCTATAAAATATTAACACAACTGTACGAGTATGAATCAAAGCTATATACTTACCACATGGTACTGTTGCGCAAATTTCCCATAACAAAACTCGTATTTCCACCACCCTTGTCCCTAGGACAGACAAATATTAGAGTTACGCATGATGGATGAATACAATATTTTTAAATACACATCAATATAAAAGTAACATACTGCAGAATGAGTTTAAAAGTTCTGCTATGGAGAATCAGATAATATAACAGTTGTTACAATGACAATGTACCGGGTAAATGAAAAATACATTTGAAATATATTGACCAAACAGCTCAAGAAACAAGCCTATAGTACAACAGATTGTAAAGCTAAAGTGTGTAACTGAGTTTGTAAATTAAAGTAGTTTTACATATGCTGCTTAGGGACGAGGTCAAAAGATCGATGTCGGATAAAAAACTTATTTGCTTTAGTTTGGGGGTGGAGGGGTTTTGGCCTCAAAAAGTTTCCATCCTACAAAAACGATTTTATTTTTTAATGAAGTAAAAAAAAACCTTGGAGTATTTGTAGTTCGTTTTTTTCTATCGAATCATAGACAAAAATAACAGAAAGTGAAAAAAAAACACACATCCAAGACGAGAAAATGGTTTGGTCCGAGTGTAAATATGTGCCTCAAATGAGGTCAATTTCAGGGCATGGACCTAGAGCATCCGCAGAACCCAGAAAGTAGTTTGCGCATACGTATATTCTGCTTCATTATTACAACCAACTGCTATGCCATACTACTGTCCGATTATCAATTTGTATTTAATGGTGAATGTAGTCTGACGCCATGATCAATATTTATCAATTAAGTTACAGTGGGGGTTTTGGGAAAAAACTAAAAGAATTAAGTTTTTTATCCGACATCGATCTTTTGACGTCGTCCCTTACTGAACACTATGGAAAACTTTAGATTATAGGACTACATATACTGTAATGCTACAATGATGTCAATCTTACCCCATGCAGGCAATAATCTCCATTTAAAAAGTCCCTTATTAACTGTGTGTCAGTGAATTCAGCCACTGGTTCTTCCTTGGGTACAGGCAGTGGTTTCTTCTGCTCTGGTTTTAGGACATGCCTCTGGGTCTGGAAAAAGAAAACCACAATGAATGATTCAAGCACATGGCAATGTTACCATGGATGACTCTGAAATGCATCACAGACTAAACCCACTAACATGTACATACTACCCGATGTGTACTGTAAAAAAATGAACTCTGCATTCTCATTGGCCAATTAATACCATGACGAACATTATTTACTTTGTCATCCAGTCGAACCAGAACAAAAAGACAACAAAACGTGTGATAATGATAACAATCAATGATAACGTTTCTCCACATCTGAATAATACTATTTTTTTTATACACTCAACACAAATGCGATAGACCATAACTAATAATGCGCAATGCTTACACATGCCACTGTACAGATGATAATCACGGGATTCAATGCTAACACACTTACTGTCTGAGATGAGTATTGTGCTTTGTTGCCCTCAGATTCCAACTGTCTCAATCCTTTTGGCTTCATCGGAGAACCAGCCAGCGGTTGACAATTTATTTCACTAACTGGCACTTCCTTGGGTCTATACAATACAAGAGAAATTGTTGTTTTAATGATCTGATTTTGTTAATATAACGTATAACACACACACAGTGCATCTAAGTTTGAACGTGACCATCGTCTCTCCTGACATTCTCTGCATGTTCAAGTACAGGTGCTCATTGGACATTTTGATTTGGAACTAAGTGACAACAATTTAATGTGACAATGTGACATCACAATGTTGAGTGAATTCAGTCAAGCATAAGCACCTGCAGACCCTATCCAAGCATTCCCCCAAATTGCAATAAATCTCAGCCAGTGGTTTTGGCCCCTCAATTAAATTTTTGGCGCACACACACACACCCAGGGTACACCCCTGGAAATACAGTCCCTAGCAGGATTCTGCCTCTGGTCTACCCATTTTGATACATGATGCAACAACAACTATAATACTAACAATCAGTTGCAAGTAACCCTTAAAGCCAGCTGTACACAATCCTCTATGACACGATGTGGTACAACTGTCGAGTAGAGTACAGACTCGTAGCACTACGCATGACCAGACACAAAGGTAAGATATAGCACATAATTCCACTCTCTGATTGGTGCACTTCCACAACACAATGCAACTACCGGTAACACTGCACACCACTGAAAGCAACTCAACATGATACAATATGCTCGGAGTCCATGAAATGACAGAAAAACTCTTATCTCCTTCGCTTTGAATTGCATACTTGTATACAGACCACCCTCGACAACGCAAAAGTTGCATTGCTTCGTTGAAAGTCGTATGCATTATTTAACATGATTATAAAAAATATGTTAACCATGTTTGGAGTTTCTGACCAATCATTCTACATGTAAACAAACAAAAAAACATGCACAAAACTTATCCATTTGATGAATCATGCAACACTTACTTAAACGAGGGATTTGAACACAAGTTTGGAGTCAGTACCACTAATTCATATTCACACGTACTAATCTCTTCAAATGAATAAATTTCTTGTTTACTAGTCGGTTCACAGATGTACAGTATCTTACTCTTTCTGGGAGTATTATTGGCTAAATCACACAACGTTCCATCGTCCATTTCCACCTCGTAATACGGAAGATCATGACCATCAATTTTTTTAGTTGGTATCTATAAAATGAGAAAAACATTCACACAAATGTTCCATTCTAGTCTTCTTATTTCATTCAATCATTATTTCAGATAATACTTGCACAAGAAAATAAAAACTCAACTACAGTTATACCAATGTATTTTCGCTTATAAGTAAAATCTGCTAAAGTAAATTTAGGTGAACATATAACAATAAAACTCATTGACGAATTAAAACACAGTGAATATGCTCAAAACATCAAAATAGTGAAAATAAACAGTTTTACAGTATCAAGATTTGTGAGTACACCACTCTCTCTAAACCCTCTACAGAAAATTAACAAATCACCAAATCTTGATGAAAAGAAATTACACACCTCAGTATTTTTTTCTGGATCTTTTTCTTCTGTCTTTTTATGTTTGGTAAACTTTCCCAAATAAAATTCTTGTAGTTTAATATTCTGAAAAATTAAATGGCAAAAAGAAGACTCAGGTTATTATTTGACTATAATTAAGCAGCATTCCACTGACCATGCCTTGCAAGAAAGAAAGAATGACATAAACTATATAATAAAACCTGTAGATTGTAAGATGAATGATATAGTTGAGTGCAGTTCAATACCTCTCAGTGAAGGTTAATTAATACACGTTGATGGAAAAAAACACTTACTTGTCCAGATTCTTTTTCTTCATGATACTGTCGCACATGTTTCCCATGACACAATTCATAATTCCAATATGATTCAATCTAAAAAAAATAAAAAACAAGCAAAATGGATTAAAGTCAACCACAGCTAATACTATGTAACATATCAAATACGGATAGTACAATGTATCAATGTGTAATACCCACCCTGTAAGAACAGGATAGTTGTTTATAAAGTGGTTCCATCAACTCCTCGGCTGTAGGACCATGATAATTTTTTATTCTTTGTTCTTCTCTTCCTTCATTGTTAGATGGTAATAAACATCGATACTGTTCATTGTCTAATGTTTTCATAATAATTTCCTCGCTTATCAAGTCTGACTCCTATAAAACACAATCATGACAATAAATGTATACGTCTTAGTATGTCACTGAGTTACGGCATGATCTATGAGTTCTAATGTATGAAAATCAACCAAATTACATATGAATAACTTTCTCAGAATGTACAATTCCAATATAATTTAGGAGATCATACATGAAATAATTTTGTACAAGGGACGTTGATATTGCAGAATCAACTCCAATATTGCACTGCAGAGGTTTCATTATTGCTGTTATGATCCAAGTGTTATATGTAGGTCTTAGCCTGTGATGCTTTCTTACCTATTTTGGTTAGTTTTTTGTCCACTTAAATATCATTGAAACATGCATGAATGTATCACTCATTCAAAAAAACAGCGTGTCTTTCTCAAGAGGATGTGCACAAATAATTTTACTCTTTTTAGCCCATCTCAGGAGCTAGCCATTTTCTTTCCATCAAATATACATGTACCGGTAGTTTATACAGCAAATTCCACTGTCTGTTATATAACTGCACGTTATCGATGCACAGGTTTACACTTAACCTGTACTCTAGCATTCCGGCCATTAATGTAATTGTATACGTCCTTATAGATAACTATAGGCATGTAGAAGAAAGGGCATATACAATTAAAAAATAAGGAGAGGCACTGAAGGGTTGGGATAAGGATTAGAGTTATAGATGAAGGGACCCTAAGGAACTCTAAGTTGTTACATGCTTAGAACTTGCTCGTTTAAATCATTTCTACATTGACACTCACCCGATACACCAGCGACTGTGTCCTGACATTTCAGACCATGAAAATACATTTTTATGTGATAACTTTGCCATTTATTTTTCAGCAATAAACATGATTGAATTGAAAGGCAATTGCCATGTGATTCTCTATTTAAATTCAATGTGTTTGACGAATCCTATGAAAGTTGGTTGGCCCAAATAGTTTTAAACAGGTTACGATCTCCAGGCGCACATAGCAAACCAGTCAGCAACTTAACTGGCAATGTTGCTGTTTGGATGTTTGGATATTATCGGAAAGGGTTCTAAATTTTTTGTGTGATGAGGTGTTCAGATTGAAGGGATTTTCCCACAGAAAAACACTGAATGTGGACAAATTTCATTAATTTTTGGCTCAATGTTATCCCATCATATTGTTTGTGGATAAAATTTGGTAGTTGTTTCTCTGAGTTGTAGGTAAACTAACCAAATTTATTTTATTATCACGCCAAGTGACGGTGACTCCACTCTACACAAAGCGATGTTACTGGCGTAGCATGTACGATGCCAATGATCCAAAATAAACAATATGGGAAACATTATTTGTATTTTCACAACAATGTCCGATTGTCGTCATTGGAACATGATAAATGTTACGAGACCTGACAAATACTAAACATGATAATTCGTAATCGTAATGTAATTCTGTGAAGGGGAAATAAAGCATTCCACTTGCACCGTACATACCATGGAAATAGTTTGTCCAGGCCACTTGAGTTGAAAGGTTGTCTCGTCAATATTGAAGAATCCATACTCTGAGCTCAACGCATTCGTAATAAGCGTTGATAGACTGGCTACAAATATATATTCCGAAAACAGCGCCATTGTCATTGAACTAAAATAAACAACTTATGATTTCACTGTTTGATCAGACGCTTCGGCACAATGTGTTGTCACCTTAAACAAAAACTCTGCAACATGTTTCCGGATACACTGCCACATCAGAACATGTTATTGAATTTGTTTTGCACGAACGTATCTGATTGGAGACTTGTTGCCAATTGCGTATGGGCACGTTGTTGTTACAAGCCAATTACAGACCATTTTATAGAAGTAAAGTCCTAACGTATAAGGTCACTGCACATGCGCACACTCATGTATTATGCGGACAGTCTAGTGTGCGCCACCTATCGTTCGATTAAGGAGATAAAGAATTGCAATGAGAGTATCGCCAAACAAAATACTGATATTATAAAGAAGTTAATTGCTAGAATTCACTGGGTTTTAATTTTGCTGACTGGAAAATGCGCTAAATTAAAACCCAGTGAATATGTAAAATTTAGCATAGAACACATTATCTAAATTATGAAACCCACTGAATATGCCTGAAATGGTAAATCAGCGAAATTTAAACCCAGTGAAAATTAATCATTTTACAGTAGTTATCATAAGAACGATTCTATTTTCTCTACCACCCGTTCATAAAATAACAGCATGGTAAGTTTCATATCTGAATATCATTTTTTTGTCGTTCACTTACACATAAGACATAATCTGAGTTTTGTTGGTAAAGGAAACAACAAAGGGTATTTCTTGTGACAGCAACCTCTGGCGGAGAATGGTAAGTACGTAAGGCAGTACGTACTTTTTTTTCCGATTACTGAGTGTACAGACTAACTGAAGTCGAGCCCGAATTGTCCTTGATGCTGGGCGGACACGCACATCGGGTGTTAAATCCCGGGGGGTACTTGCAAAAAAATACTGACAGGGGTGTGTAGCTGGTTGTTTGAAACCCCTACCCCTTATCGGGCGGATATAAACTCAAATTACCTACCCCTTTCCAGACAAACTGTAGATATTTGACACCCCTTTCCAGACAGTATGGTAACAAAGGAAAAGCAGTTGAACTCCCGGGGATGGACTTTGACGATCGAAATGAAGTTACAGAAAGAAAAAATCAGCTTCATTCTCCTGATTGTTGGATCACTCAAGCTCTAGAGACAGTCTTTGGAAAATATGGACCTCTTCTTCGACAGCAAAAATGAAACAAATATGCCCCTTTTCAGACAGACAGTGGTGAATATGGGACCCCTTTTGGCGGCACATATACATATAGCACTTTAATGTTGAGTACCCCCGGGTGTTAAACCCATATCTTTATACATGTATTCTCATAGCAATGAGAAAAAACGAGTACATCGTTGTAAACTACATGCATACACTGGTGTGAACAAAGAAAGTTATTAAATTCCGGACTAAGTCTGAATGACCTGGCATCAGCTTTTAGTACAGTAAGGGTAATATAATTTTAAATGTCACGTCCCTGTTCTATAAAACATATGCATGTGCTGTTTTTTTACACTGTACGGGGATCGTAATAACAGAATTTTTGACAACTTGAAACTGAAAAACAAAGCACCGCAACTCAATGAGTGTATATTTTATGGTGCGTATATTGGTCAAAGAATGGTAGTTTACAGATTTGCAAAATGGAAATACGCGGTGTAACCACGGTGTAACCCACCGGTGTTCGTTCACAGACCAGCTGTAAAGTAACAAAAATGATCTCTATAACGATTAACCGTCAGATATTTAAAACATATATATTTACCAACTCTTACAGGATGTTTCTACGGCGATACGATGACGACACATTGGCGTAAAATTGTTCAGAAATCTGAGTTGAATCAAGTTTTGAATATTCAAAGCAGTAGTAGTATTTATGATGTACAAACAACCATCACCCGTAATATTAGGGTATCATTTTTGAAAATGTGTTCCAATATATTTATTGCGCATGGACGTACTAGAGTGGAACATTGAAATACACTTATATGTTTGTCATATTTGTATCGGTGAAAAACCTTGGAGGGTACCAAAATATGATTATTTTGATTAGCATTTAGCATGATCTATTCATGTTGACGGATTATACCAAAATCTCCTGTGTTTCCTACCCGCGCACATGGATATTTGTTTAAAACTACAATAAATAAAGTGATGAAATGAAATTATTTATCTAGCGCACTTATTATTTATGCCTGACAACATTTATTGTACAAACAGAGAACCGCGATTCACCGTTTTGGCACAGGAAGTAGTAGAAAAAATGTTTTTTTGGACATATGTAGTAGTCTTTCGCTTGTCTTTTCACGCCATTCTCCAAATTTTGCCGTAGGTGGCGTCTTGTTTTTGACTTCAGAAGGCATATCCCACGATAACACGTTTTCCTGCTGTATTATCATAACAATACTACATTATCACACATTTCGTGCATAAATGAAATAAACATGGACAAAATAATTCCATTTTGAAAAAATAAAGTGTTGGATGCACTTAGTAGATTTCCACTGGAAACCCTGGGATGTCTCGTATTGTTAAATATTGGTTAAACACCTTAGATCGTCGTATATTAAATATTAAATGGCCGAAAAAGGTCACAAGTGCTGGCCATATAATGTAAAGGAACTATTGTTTTGTTTTGGTTTCGGCAAGGCCTGGTATATGCAAGGGGTTGGCAATGTAAATATGTTTGTGTCCGCCTTTAAACAAATATCGTCCGATATTTATTGCTGCACAGAAATGGTCAATAAGTCTGCAATCCTTTTCCAAGCTTGACACCTATCGTCTCTATAACAATAATCTGTTTAAAGTGAAATATCTGTCCTTCATCGATAAAGATTTTCTTAGAATTTTTCTAAAGTATGCAGAATTCGTGTTTCTTGTCACAAATTGCGCACCGAGAGTGGTAGGGCGGAAAATATTGCCAGAGAAAGAAGAATCAGCACTTTATACTATGATGCTTTACAGAAAGTGGAAGATGAATGTCATTTTTGTTGCAAATATCTATTATACAAATTTTTGAGAGAAAAAGATTGGCCCCTCACCATTACAAATACCCATAATTTATAAAATTTATTTTACTTTTAAATTCTTATAACCCGTTTGTTCTTCTGTCTTTATCAAAGTATATAGTCAGACTTCTATAACAATATTATTTCCAATGTTGATTAAGTATGTTGAACCTTTTGTTGTATATAAGGCCAATGGCCTAAAATACTGTAATAAAATATGAATGAATAAGAAACAGTGATTTCATTGCCACATTGTATTGTATAGGTTTTAGTGGGTGCCATGATTTCTCGAAATGCAGCCAAAACTGCAACTGTTTTCGAAATAAAGAGATAATTCCAGGTGCTATATATAATTAAGATTCAAAAAAAAAAAAAAAAAAAAAAAACATGATATTTTCAAAAAACAAACACTTTTTTATTTAACATGGTAAAAAAAATCTCACATTCGCGCCAATATGGCATCGTTAACATATGGTGTTGATATCCCACACTACAGTACTACGTGTTTTCAATGTGATCACTTTATGTCTAAGCGGAAAGGGTTTCTATGACGATGGCATATATTATCTGGGTTGATCATAATTTGGAATACTGTAACCCAGTTAATAGAATATCCGTTGGACATTATAAAAGGCATCACTTGAAGCGACGAAAAGAGGCAGAATTTAAGTACGTCCTGCAACCAATAATTACAAAAAACTATGATTACCTACTATCATTTGCTATGTATTATTTATCGATTTATTTAATAAATAAAATTTACAAGGGATTTGGAGTGAGAAATGAGAAAACCGAATCTATACCAGTTATAAAAAACATACTAAACTATAAAGCAAACGGTTATCCTAAAACAGTGCAGAACCACAACTGCCCATGTGTGTGCTGCTTATGACAGATTTCGTGGAAATGAAGCGAAAAAGGCATAATATGTATACCTCGCTGTGCCACATCAGCCAGGAATAGACAATTAAATATTTAAGCACAGTCAACTGTGGTTGGACAATATTTGCTACCCGGCAAGAACACTGCGACATTTTTGTCCAATAACAGAATTCGTTACAAATCTATATTGAGCTTTGCTTTTGGAGGTTATCGCGCTTGCGCAGAAGGTGATCCACGTCAATATGGCGACGTTGCAAATCGCTGTTATCTTGAGTATCGTCGTCGGATCTTTGTCGTATCCTGAACAAGGGAAGTTCCATGCTACTTTAGGAAAGGTTTGTATTTGGTTCTTTTTTTGGCTTTTACCAATGCTATAATAATTTGAGTGACATACGTGGACGAAAATGCCCTTTTAAAATGTTCCTAACCAATGTTGTCGTTCTCCAGTCTCATTTTGTATCGTTTTTGTATTCCGAAATAACGATGAGCTCATAATATTAAAGTCATTTTCATCAATTTTAAATATTGTCACAGTTCATTAAAATGGTGCTCGTTTAATTATTTAACAACTTGGTTTGATTTTTTTTAATGATTTTTGTTCATGCAGGGTCATATATTTACACACCACGTTTCGCAGTAGGATATTATTTACTCAGCACATCGGGCTTCCTATAGCTCTGCGTACAGTGCTGTGTGTAACTTAAAAAGGGGACGCGTTCGGTTGATAGATGTCCCCACCGCAGCCCTGCGTACCTCCATAGACAAAGTCCGGGACTTTGAAAAATATAACTTTTTTAATGAAATAACATGCCCAGGTACCAAAAATGATGATCGATTACCAGATATATCTAGAACTCCCAGTTCGGAGTCCAGTTGTGGATGAAATCTGGTTACTTTGCCCTAAAAACAAACGCATTCTCTCGCGTGAATGAAATTAAAAATGGCGGCGTTTGGTGGATAATTCCTCCGGTTTACAATTTGTCCGTCTTTACTAGTTGTTATTTAAAGACATTTCAGTTTCAGATAACTTTGTAATGCTTGTTACGGATAACTATCGCCATTTCAACCGATTTTGGCTGGGAAACTACTTATTAAAAGTTATTTTTAACTTGCGCACCAATTACGGTGCGCTCCCGGACTTTGTCTGTGGAGGTACGCAGGGCTGTGGTGGGACATCTATCAACCAAACGCGTCCCCTTACACACTGCACTGTACGCAGGGCTAGGCTTCCTATAGTCGTTTACAGTTACCTGCATGAAAACAGTTGAACATAAATTTATGAATTGTTCATATTATACATTACCACATGCATGATTTACACATTTGACTAGTAGCAGGTTCGTATTAAAATCATTGATGCATGAATGAACGATAATATTATAATACAGTAGACACTACAATTTTTGTATTTCATTATGTATGTATCCCTTGTCAGAAAGTCACTTTTACGAAAAGGAAACTTTCTCTCGATTAGTATCCATGGCATTACAGTGTTTTATTTCTGGTGAATCCCCCAGTAAATTTTCTAGGTGTAAGTAAACAGATGGGGTTAAAATATTTGGGGAATATCTCAGAATCTGATGACTTTTATCACATGCTATCCAGATTGACAAAAATATGCCCTCTTACTTGTGAAACAACAGCTACATGTACTTCTGATTTACCTACTCACTGGTGAATTCTCATAATTTGGAGATACTTTACTGCTTGGAATATTGGCAAGTTTTAGTATACAATCTGCTTTTTTTGATAACCATTTACTGCCGCTAAATGATGCTACTATTAAAAAAATAAAATTCTTTGCAGGTTTCAATAATATTCTAAAACACTATGTACTAGTTTTAGAAATAGTTTTAGAATAGAAATAAAGCTGAATACTAAATTCAAAGTGATCAATGCATAACTCTTTGCTAATTCTTGGGAATACAGTCTGTAAGTTAGACTGCAAAGGCTTGGTTACAAAATTATTGTTAGGAATTATTGGCAAAATAAATATATGCCACAAACTTCAATCAGAGGACTGTTTCATGAATTACCGTATTATCATGGTGTGTGCAGATCTCTAAATTTACATTTTGCTGTTACAGGATGTTGCTTCCATTAGTCGTAGCCAGTGAATCCCTCCTGTCCAATCAGTAGTAGATCCATGGCTTTTGTTAGTGGTTCCACAATATGCTGAAATAAATACACATAATAATATAATTTACATTCCACGTTCTGCGATAACGTGATAAAAATGAAGTAAAATAAATTGATAGCTTATGTAGATATTATACTCGTAGTAGAGATTGTGTCAGCTGTGTATTCTCCTAGTAGTTTGTATTTGTAATCCATTAATTAATAATATAATCTGTCACACGTGTCCATGTAAAAAACACAATACATTACTGTGGTTTGCTCAGCATGTAGTGTTATGTGGTTGTGATTCATAAGTTTTAGGAACAACATTGCTTGACGCTAAGGATAGTCCTATAACCCAGGTAAAATTGACACTTGGACAACTGGAAACTAAATCACTAGCCATAACAGACTATAGTAAATATATTAGAGAGTACATTTAGGACAAGTGAGTTTAAAAGTTAATGACAAGTTCTGTCTAACGCAGACAGATTGTGACTTCTGAAATCCCCTGAATGTTTTTTCAGACCCTGACTAAGACACAGTCTGGATTGGGTATCTGAATCTACTGGTATCTGGTTGGCCCTCATATTTTCTCAGTGGCTCATCATGAATCAATTATTTTCACACTTGGTACATAGTTAATTAATACATAATGGTATACACATGCTACTGATTTTTTTTTTTTTATTCAAAATGGCCATATTTGTTCTGAAAATGTCCTAAAAAATTACTTTTTATGTGTGGAGAGCATTAGTTGTGATGACTGATTCTGTTCAAACTTTCAATATTGGTAACACCTGTTCTCTACTGAAACAAATCTATTATTTTTTAATATTTGTTTAAGATAGACTAATTTTTTGGCATTTTGGCTTCTAATTTGAATATACAACAAGTCATTGAAAATGACACAGTCCCCGTTTCAAATTTTTGAAAGTTCTCTTGTGCTCGTCATAATAAAGCGGAGGGGTTGTTGTGAGCGTGTCCTTGAAACTTTAGTTCCAAGTGGCGTATACAACAGATTGTTTATTTACATCAAAACATGTGTTCCTTGTAGAAGTAATATGGCCAAAAATAAAAACAGCCGTTATTCGGCCATCTTTGATCTGATTATGAAACACACTGATATGTATGATGTATGTGCCAAATATGAATGAAAATGGTACATAAATTGTGGAAATATAGCAGTAAGGCCAAAAAGTCAGATGGCTGTCAATCGGCCATCCTTGACCAGATTTTGAAACAAATTGTCATGGACATGCATCCTAACATGTATAAAGTACATGCATGTGCCAAATTTGAATGAAAATTGACAGAGCACTTCCAAGATGCTGCATAAAAAAAAAAAATAAGATGCCTGCCAGTCGACCATCTTTGATCCAATTGCGAAATAAATCTTCATGGACATGTATCCTAACATGTATAATCTATGTACCAAGTTTGAATGAAAACTGACAAAGCATGTCCAAAATACAACATTTTCAAAAAACAAGATGGCTGCCAGTCGGCCATTTTGAATCGAATCGCTAAACCACTGCATGTGCATATGTTCCACATGAAGTACTAGGCACATGCAAAGAATGAACGGAATCGGTCCAAGGGATTCTGAGATATGACTCCGGACGGGCGCACGAACGGAGACCGAATTATAAGTCCCCGTTTTCGGACTTCGTCCGAACGGGGACTAATTACTATAAAGTTTATTCAAACTTGGTACGTAGACAGACATTGTAATGTTTCACAGAGATGCAGGTAGATTTTTACTGTGTTTCCAATCAGATGGTTGACTGTCAGCCATTTTGTTTGTCGAAAATAAAAATTCTTTCACATATCTTAAATTTACGCCTTTCCAAATTTGGTTCCTGGACAGTTGTGTTCAAATACATGTCATCTAATTAAGATTGTCTGCATACTGTAAATTACTTTATTTTAGCTGGAATTAATTTTTGCTGAAAAGACCTTTTCGGTATTTTGTATGGAATTGATTTTCACTGATTTTTAATGTGAAATATAGGAAAATAGGTATATTCGCTGGATGTTATTTTCTCTGAATCATTCCTTCACGAAAATAGCAAAAATAAATTCTGAGCGTGAATAAAGTATTCTACAGTATATTGAGTAGCTAGTCCACAAATTCTTATTTTAAGCTAGTGTATATGGGATTATTAAAATATGTATTCATCTTAAATTCAAATTGTTCAATTCTGATACATGAACCACATCTCTGCCTTATACTAAAAAATTATTGTAGAATGGTTCTTTCAAATCTTGACCATAAACACACTTCTGTCATTTATGCAAGTACATGCATTGCTAATAGCGTATTAAAATATGGTAGTACCGTAGTTGTCTGAGTATAAACCCCTCCGGAAAAACGGCAAATTGACGAAAAATTAGGGGGGATGCTTATAAACGGATAAAAGTTAAAACTTCTCCTGAGCGATAATTTATGCTAATTTATTCATTAACAAATCTTTGTGTGTACGATACTAAGTATCTTCATCGACTAGCATCGTCCAATCCAGTCATGCTGCGTTTCACAATTGTTGATTATTACTCAGTAGTGATTATAATAACGTACATAAAAAATAAATTCGTTGAATTGTTATGAAATGCAAATAAAATTCAACTTAGTTTCTTCGCAAGCAAATGATTCTGGTTGCATATAAACGCTCGATGCTGTCAGGTTTCCGCCATGTTCTTTATTTTGCACGAGTTGACCTAATAGATTAAATCGCTAATTAACCAATCAAAATGCTAGGTGATGCCAACGTGTTCAAATTACCATAGCTTTTTTAAATATGTTATGTTATTGAATGCAACACAGAAGAGATTTGCCGAAGTTACAATCTTTTGGCTTGGATTTTGATAGGAAAACAGCATTTTTTTTTCAAATCAAAAAATAGTTGTTTTCAAAAGATAAACTGAGCATTAGAAGAATAATTTAACATTGTTTACAGTGATAACAGCTCATTGTCGAAGCAAAGCTTACCCATTCACACTAGTCACAATAAACACGCTCTTGAATAAAAACTTAAATAGACTATTTTAGGAAAGATGGAAATGTTTGAAAAATGACGTCAAAATATTTAAACGAAGTCCGAAAACAGGGACTTATAATTCGGTCTTCGTCTGTGCGTCTGTACGTCCGTCCTTCAAAGATGGTCGAATAACGACTGTTTTTATTTGTGGCCATATTACTATATCTCTGTCACCCATGTATCATTTTCATTGATATTTAGCATGTCATGAGTTGATACATGTACATGTCAATTCAATTTGCAATTTGATCAAATTTGGCCGACTGGCGGCCATCTTGTTTGTTTAAAATGTGATAACTTGGACATGCTTTCACTTGTGATCTATGTTTTTCTTTGCTATGTCTTAAACCGGAGGGGTTGTCACGCAACACATGTTCGAATTTGATGTAAATAATAAACAATCTGTTGTATACACCACTTGGGACTCAAGTTTCAAGGACATGCTCGCGACAACCCCTCCACTTTATATGACGAGCACAAAGAGAACTTTCAAAAATTTAACAGGGACTGTGTCATTTTTGATGACATGTTGTAAAATGCTGTAAATTTGGATGGTTGGGGGACTTATACTCGAGCTGGGGTTTATACTCTGACAACTACGGTAGTCATTTCATGTCTCATTCAATTTATAATGCATTTTCAGAATGGAGGCTATGTTGGTTTCACAAAGACTGCTTTTAAGAACACCAGGATAAAACTTAAAGGCAAGTATTAAAAACAAATAATCATCGATAGTAAGTATAGTGGTTGTGGAGTACAAATCCTGCCTAACATTTTCATACATAACTTCTTTTTGTATAAATTAGTTGACTGTGATGGTGAAGACACTGATGGAATAGACTACACAGTAGGATGGTTTTTACGCTATACACCATGTAGTGACAATTACAATAATGTTATTATGGATGTAAGTATATCGCCATATTAGATTATACAGTGGGATGTTTTTTACGCTATACGCCATGTAGTTACAATTATAATAATGTTATTATGGATGTAAGTATATCGCCATATTAGATTATACAGTGGGATGGTTTTTACGCTATACGCCATGTAGTTACAATTATAATAATGTTATTATGGATGGCATTCATTTCTGTTGAATCCTTTTGATTTGTTTATGCAAGAATAATTTAGCGTTTATATGGCATGTGTTTCAACTCTTCAATGTAATAACCCTGTATGGCATGCATTTTATGTTAAAAATACATCCAAAACAAGCATTTTTGCCATCTCAGTTTTCATGGACAGCTATGATACAAACATGGTTCATAAATTGAACAAAACAGGACATTGATGCACAGCATTTGTTTTTCAGATCGAACTCAAAATGGCTGATTGACAGACATTTTGTATTTTGATGAATGCTGTTTCAAAGCCATATCTTTAGCATGCCTTGAGTAATTGCAATCAAATTTTACAACCACATTATACATCATGTCGCACATGTTTTGGTTCTGATTCAAAATGTCTCGTTTACTATTGAACAACCCAGACTTGTTGTATCTATGGTGTTTTTTAGACACAACATCACTAGTTTGTATACTATCAATTCATCTGAATATATACCCTGTTTTGCAATGTTTACATTACCCTTGTACAGTGCCTTCTTTGTGTCTTGCATTTTCCTTGAAAACCTAGTAAAAATAGAGGCTTGCTATCACATTTAAAAACATGCACTTTTCAGTGCCACGTGACAGCAATACTGGAGAATAACACTTTTGTAGTTTGGCCTTCTTTGCATAGCAAACTTTCCACTGGAGATTAATGTGCATAATAATTTTATATCATTAGGCAAGACTGATATTGATACATTATTTATTTATTTATTTATTTATTATGTGCAGGAAGCGACCTATTCAGGTTATTATAATGCACCTCAATATATACAAGCAAATGAGAAGCTAACTAAATACCAACAAAGTGAGGGTATCAATTTAGGTACATGTGGATCGCTGCTAATGTTTAAGGTAAGTTTTGTTTATACACCTAACTTTCTCCAGTTGCATACTCGTACAATTGAGAAAATGCAAGTGCTGTAACAAATTTTGTAATTGACTCAGTATACAGTTATATTTTGTTATTCTTAGTGTTGTTCAGTACATTGTGGATAATAATTACTGTGATGTATGGCATATTTATAATAATGAGTACATTTGATTGTTAGGTTGAATTGTTACTAATTTCTGACACTCACTTCTTACTGTAAATGTCTTGATTTTTACATAGTTATATTATCCCCTAACATTACACAGTCAAAATGCTTGTTATGGATTAGGTCAATCCATTCATTGCATTATCATCGACGTTCCTGGACTGAATATTTCTAAATTTGGTACATAAAAGATCTCCAATGAGTGATCAAATGTTATCAAATTTATTAAACAAGTGTAGTAATTTTGATATGTTCAAAGTCTTTTGCAATTATGAATATTACTAATAAGTATAATAAATCAAAAATCACTCAGTCACGATTCAGAGATCCCATTCATCCCATGTATCCTCATAAATACATTGGAAACGCAACCTCTGTGAGCGCAACAATGTTTTTTTTATCATGTTACATATCTCATTTGCATACAGGAACGCCATTCCTTTAATACAGTTTACTGATAATTTATAGTTGGTTAAAAACGATTTTGCTGATTTTTTTTTAGGGGGAAAATAAAAATATATTTACAGTGATAGTAAACACATTGGTAACATTTATTGTACACTGTAAGCTTATTATAATGAACACCTTTATAATGTGCAGCCATGTACTACCATACTTGAACATGCATTCAACAATCTTAGCACATGTATATTTTAATTCATTCAGTTCTTGAAAGTTTATGCAGTGATTACTTGTTCAGTCAGTGGCTTTTTATTAGTCCCCGTTCGGACGAAGTTCGAAAACGGGGACTTATAATTCGGTCTCCGTCTGTCCGTGCGTCCATAGTCATATCTCACAATCCCTTAGACCGGTTCCGTTCATTCTTTGCATGTGCCTAGTACTTTATGTGGGACATTTGCTCATGCAGTGGTTTAGCGATTCGATTCAAAATGGCCGACTGGCAGCCATCTTGTTTTTTGAAAATGTTGTATTTTGGACATGCTTTGTCAGTTTTCATTCAAACTTGGTACATAGATTATACATGTTAGGATACATGTCCATGACGATTTATTTTACAATTGGATCAAAGATGGCCGACTGGCAGCCATCTTGTTTTTTGAAAATGTCTTATTTTGGACATGCTTTGTCAGTTTGCATTCAAATTTAGTACATAGATCATACATGTTAGGATACATGTCCTGACCATCCGTGAGTTCCTGAGTCTGTCCGTCCGTGCGTCAGTCTGTCCAGAGTCATATTTCAGAATCCTGTGGACCGATTCCGTTCATTCTTTGCATGTGCCTAGTATCTTATGTGGGACATATGCACATGCAGTGGTTTAGCGATTCGATTCAAAATGGCCGACCTGCAGCCATCTTGTTTTTTGAAAATGTTGTATTTTGGACATGCTTTGTCAGTTGTCATTCAAACTTGGTACATAGATTATACATGTTAGGATACATGTCCATGACGATTTATTTCACAATTGGATCAAAGATGGTCGACTGGCAGGCATCTTGTTTTGTTTTTTTATGTGGTATCTTGTCAGTTTTTATTCAAATTTGGCACATACATGTACTTTATACATGTTAGGATGCATGTCCATGACAATTTGTTTTTAAAATCTAGTCAAGGATGGCCGATTGACAGCCATTTGACTTTTTGGCCTCACTACTATATTTTCACAATTTATGTACCATTTTCATTTGTATTTGGCACATACATCATACATATCAGTGTGTTTCATAATCAGATCAAAGATGGGCCGAATAACAGCTGTTTTTATTTTTGGCCATATTACTACTACACAGAACACATGTTTTGATGTAAATAAACAATCTGTTGTATACGCCACTTGGAACTCAAGTTTCAAAGACTCGCTTGTGACAACCCCTCCGCTTTAATATGACGAGTACAAAGAGAACTTTCAAAAAATTAACGGGGACTGTGTCATTTTCAATGACTTTTCCCCTTATTTTATGAGAATTCGGTGCCTGGTACATTGAAGAAGCGATTCCTGTTCACTGCTAAGTTGAGGTTGGGAGAATTAAAAACTGTCCATTTATACAACTTTAACACAAAAAATGCATCTTTGTGAATTTCTGAAATTACTGATATATATATATAGAGAAAACATTAAAATTTAATTTAATTTAAAAAAAAAGTTTTGCCCAGTTGTTAAATGGACTCTTGTTTTCACATCTTTTGATATCACATCAAACAGGTATGATACATTGGATATGTGATGGTATACATATGCTTCAAATGTTGTTTTTTGATCAGTTTCAAAATGGCTGACTGGTGGCCATATTTTTCTCAAAAATGTGTATAGCATTATCTCAAAGCTGCACATATTGATTTTGTTCAATCTTAGGATATTGGTGACAATTGTTGGTCATCCATCCATTATTTTTTAGGATTTGTGAGAAAAAGGCTGACTGGCAGCCTTTTTGTACATCTTTTTTTAATTTTTGCAGATATTTTGTCAATGAATCAATCATTAAGTTGATTCAAACTTTGTATAGAGACAATGCATTGTTCCACAAAGATGTTAGATGATTTTTGCTTAAGTTTAATTCAATATAGCTGACTGGCAGCCATTTTGTTGTACGTTTCTCAATGTAGAGATTATAAACTTGTGCATATTAATTTGTCTTTTAGTCCAAGACATTTAGTTAACAGTGTAGAACTGGAACAAACAACAACAAAAACAGATAAATAGCTCCCATTCAGTCATTAAAAATGAAATAAAAGAGATGGTTTTGACATTCTCAATGGTTTGTTCTGTTATTCCATAAAAGGATGAAAGTGGTATGTCACCACAAGTGTTGTTGAATACCAATCAGTTCTCCACCAAGACCAACACAACAGTGAGATCTTCCACCGAGGCAATGAAAAAAGAAAATGTGGTAGATGCCAAGGATAAGTCCAAGAAAGTACGAGATGTGGTAAGTAACTATTGGTGTTGTCATAATATTTGTTATAGTTTCAGAAAAAATGGTTCATTGTTGTTTTTCTGAATTAAATTTGATTTATTTTCAAAAATCTTGTATAGTTGGGCATTCGGCTCATGATTTCACGATAAATGAACATAAATAGTGTCAGTCTGGTGTATATACTTAACATCCCACCAAAACAAACATTATTGTCTCACATGCACCTCTATTGGCAATGTGCTTCCAATGAGACCAAACAAAAAACAAATATTGTATTTCACTTTCACTTGACCTTGCCTAATAGTGTATGCCTACCCCAAATCATTTTGTAACTAAGTCCATGGAGGGTGCTAACTTTCTGTTTCTTGCTATATGCTGAACAAAGTCTTCAAAGTGGGGTTTGCAATATCAAGGTTTGCTGTTCAATAATCCAAAATTGATTTTTTTTCCCTAGGATGAAAATGCTCCCGATAAAGTTTCTGAAGCTTCCAAAGATGTAAGTACACTATCTCTGCCATATCTTGAGTGTTATTTTATTGGACTTTCATAAATTAAGACTGCATTTATTAAGCATTATTAATTAAGAAGTAGAGCCAGTAGTCTAGAGATACACAAACAAAGTGGAGCCCTTTGTACAAGTGGAGCCCCAAACATGGGGCTCCACCATGTTTCATATTTTATATTAATATTTAATCGAATTTAAGTCAGGTTTGCGA